GTGTGTGTAAGTATGTATGTATGTATGTATGTATGCATGTATGTACGTGTATTTGTTTGTATGTATGTAAATACATTTGTAAGTTGGTATGCATGTATATATGTATGTATGTATTTATATATGTAAATATGTATGTATGGAAGTATGTAAGTATGTATGCATGTATATATGTATGTATGTAAGTAAGTATGTAAGTATGCATGTATATATGTATGTATGTAAGTATGTATGTACGTATTTATATATGTATATACGTATGTAGGTATGTATGTATGTATGTATGCATGTATGTATGTGCATGTGTATGTATGTATGTATATACATTTGGTTTTATGTATGCATATATATATATATGTATGTATGTATTTATGTATGTATGTAAAATCAGCAGGTTCCTATAGTAGAAGCACATGTTAACGTATATTATAAACGGAATAACGTTTAAACGCTATTACGGTTATGAAACCTGGTATACGTTGAAACACAATTGTAGATAACTGTATCTGTATAATAATCAAATAATCTAATTATAGATATATTGAATTTACAGAAAACAAACAAACAAATAATCTATTTTGCATATTTGTAATTACAATTGTATACGACAGAGGCCGGAGACCCTGTTGATATTGATATGATGGTTTTTCTACACTGATGTGTTTTCCATCAGAATATTGGGATACAACACTGGGTGAGTCTCAGGTGATATTGACACTTGATGACATATGTTGTATTACCAAATACTCTCAGCGCGAGATAGCCTACTGAGAAATGAAGGATAAAAATGATCCCCCCTAGCCGGCCAACTAGATGTGCCCGTCTATGTTTTCAATGGGATGGAGAGCTAGGTACCATGTGACGGGGTATAGGTATAGACATTTAACTGTACCATCAAGGTGTTTTTGATTTATTTTATATTTCTTAAGTTGGAGTTATTTTATTGGTAATTGCGATTGGAGGGTAATTTCGAGGCATGAAATGGTACAGAAGAAAATATCATGCATCCAATAAAATGAAATCTGATCTTAGTTACTGACACCGAATAAATCTAGACCGAAGTATTGAGTGATTAGAGCGGAGCCACAAAGACAATAGTCTCAGTCTTACATCCCCTAATCTTTAGCTCATTACCAAGGGCTGAAGCTAAACTTAAAATTACAATGTGCAAATTTACTTTGAAATCTTACCTTTTCTTTTACGTTAACTTATTGAAACCGATAGTATTGTTCTCAGATATTAAAGTATCTTAAAGTGTTTTAAGTTTTAAGTGAATAGTTGTGATTTATTTGATTCGAGTCCCTGCTTTTATATGCATTGGACTCGCAATCCTTGAGCCATTAAAAAACACCTCTTAAGGTGAAAAAGGTTTTCACTTAATCTATGATCCAATCCAAAGGCAGCGTCGCCACGTCTTCAACTGATCGTGGCTTCCATTGTAATCTTTGGCCTTATACGTTTAGATTGTACTCCTCCGATATTCAGGGATGCCCTTATGCCCATCAGAGATTTTCTTTAATGATGTTTCCGTACTCCCGGCACTTCGGCTCCGAGATTAATTTCCATCTGTAATGTTTCTGTGTCCCTCTCTGAGTTTAGATTCTCTCCTTGGTTGATGATGGGATAAACCTTGTTGAGCCTCCGGTGTTTGACGGTATTTTTATGCTTGGTAAACAATCCTGGTTTACTGTGATCAATAGATAGCCAGCCTGGTTAGTCTGACTTTTACATATTTTTAAGTTTATACACTTTTGGAAGAATATGACGAAGGGTAAAGGGAAAGCGAAGGTATCAAAGAAACAGACGAAGGTTACGCCTTTGGAACCCTCTTTGACATCTGACCCACAAGCGGATGAAGCTGTGACAAGTATGATGGCACACGCTTTACCCGCGGATTCTTTGGATGAAGTTACAACGGGAAAGACCAAGCCCAAGAAATCAAAGAAATCCAAGGAGAAGAAAAATCCACCGATGGAGTCAGCTGACGAGATACCGAAGCAGAAGCAGATAGAATCGGGACCAGGAGACCTAATACCATAAGATAAAGGAGCCTCAAAATCTGAATCAGAACAGGGGCCGGACTCTGGAGGAGAAGATTCAGACGATCGGGACACAGATGATTACCTGCGCGAATTGCGAAAGTTGGCGGCTGAATTCCAGGAATTCAAAGACCGGAAGAAGACCGGCAAACGAAAATTTACGGTGGAAGAGAAATCTAAGAGTTCGAGCGGAGACGAGGATCAATCATCGCCGGAATTTGAAGAACCAGACTCGTCAGGACCAGATTACTTGCCGCCTTCGGCCAAGCAGTCGAGGACATCGACGACGATGACGACTCGCAAGAAGGCACGAAAGGATGACGATGACGATGGAAACAATCAGTGACTGCATGATCTGGAGGAGATGGACACGCAATTTGATGAGATTTCGGAGAGTGACAAGAAGATTGCTGATTTCACTGCTCGAATGCTAAATGCAGAAGAGGAGGCGACGCTAGCAATGGACCAAGAAATGTTAGAGCAAGCCAGTTTGAGAATGACAATGGCGAGGCACTTTCAATCCAAGATCGATACAGAGCTACGCATCATACACGCCGAGAAGACAGTGGACAGTAAGAACTTCATCAAAGACATAGGTAAGTTACCCACTACATATCGTCCGGATCGAAAGACCGTAAGGACCCTATCGATACGAGTAACTTAGTATTATTGTCGCGATCTTTGAAAGAATTTGGTCAAATTATGCTCACTGCAAATTTACGTAAGAACTTATGTTTCGAGACTGCGCAACAGAGTTTTTTAAGCCGTCATCTTATAAGTATAATAAGTTGGAGAATACTAAAGCTTCCATAACAAAGCTAAAGACGTGGAAGGAGCAGAGCGAGATGATAGTCCATCTATTCTCAACCGATCCTAGACCGGAACTAATGGTATCGATAATGGTACCACCGGACGAAGGAACACCAGTGTCACATTACCTTCTGGAACTGGACACTCACATAACACGTGCTCAAACATAAGAAATGTCGCGAGAAAAGTTGAGTATGTGTGTGCTATGGGTACAAACTATTTTCTGGTCGGCTCTACATAGAAAAGACCAAGAAGTGTTGTACGCAGATATGCACCAATCTTTTCCAGACAAAGTACGTGAGATTTTAATTGAAGGGCCAACTTTCGGCATCATGAAACTTGCCGACTTGACTTGGACTGAATTTTATTCGAAAGCAGACCAGACATTTTCGAAACGTCCGAGTTCTGTGGTGAAATTCACACCGTCTACTAAGAAGACGGTACCCAACACGAATGGAGGACCAGTTAACGGTCGAGACTCTCATACGGGTACGGGAAATAACAAAGGGAACAAAGGTGGTTACAGAGGAGGCCATAAGAACAAGCAAGTGCAAGGTACTGTGGTCAAAAGAACAATGTCAACACTCGCGGGACTTTGGGCAACAGATCTAATCAGGCAGCTGATCCTCCTAAACCTAAGTATATAGAGACCAAGGACTGTGCCGAGACAGATTGCAGCTGGCGCATGACCCAACAGGAGCCGAATGGACGCTGGAATGGCAGGCAGGCAGAAAAGTGTAAACATTTTATCGCGAAGTGTGCAGACTGTGAAGGGACTGGAGGTTACCACAAACATGTATGTAAGGTGCAACCGAACGTAGAAGTTAAGTGACAATCTTACCGGATCTTGGCACTGAAACAAAAGGATGCACCGCAAGATGAGCGCGTCATCCTGGATGTACGAGTTAATGGGCACGAAATAAAAGCGTTGTTGGATCCGAGCTCGCAAATTTCAATGTCTATCATCGAGATTTTGCAAGATAACTGATGTAACTCGTAAATCAGAACCTATGTTAAAATTGGCTGACGAAAGGGAGATTACGTGTCGTGACATGGCCGTAGATTTGAGGTTTACCCTAACAGATCAACGGACCAGAGTGACTAGGGCAGTAGTCTGTAACACTTCGCCAGATTATGATTTAATAGTGGGGATGGGAGACCTGATATCGTTAGGTATAACAATTACCGGTTTGCCTACTAACATTGACCCTCAGAAGGATCAGTCAGATGACAATCTGCTGAAGCCTGTATACAAGCCTTCTAAAACTGTGAAGGAAATGATACCCCAATTCACAGAGAAGCTGAAGGATCTTATCTTTGAGAACGACAAGATAAAGATCACCGACTGGGCTCAGTTTAAATTCAACAACGTATAGGTGAGCTTAGATTTGACATAAGTAGACTTTTCGAAGTTGAAATGCCCAACGCGAAATTATGTAGCGTGGCGTCATGAACAGGTGATACGAGAACAAGTCACAGCATGGTTGGAAGATGGAGTAATCGCAGTCAACTACGAACCTACTCCTGTCAACTTAGCACTTTTGGCTATAGACCAGTTCAACTCCGATGGCACGTTAAAGAAGGTTCGCGTGTGTATGGATATGAGTCCCATAAACGCTCTTATACCCACACATAATTTCCATTTACCAAGAATCAATGAATTGCTGAGAAGAATGGAAGGTGCGAAAATAATTTTTACCATCGATTTGGAGCAATGCTACCACCAAATGAAGATATACAAACCACATCGGAAGTATTTCACCTTCACTTGAGATGTCCAGCAGTATTCTTTTAAAGGAGCCCCTTTTGGTTTGCATATGCTACCAGCCTTCTTTCAGCAAATCATGCAAGACCTGTTTAGGGATATGGACAACGTACAGGTATATATCGATGATATTGTCGTGTTTACTAAAATTAAAGAGGAGCATGACAAGAGAGGTACTGGCCAGGCTTAACAAACACAAGTTTAAAATCAACAGCAAGAAATGTCATTTCAGTGTGAACGAGATACAGCTGTTGGGTTACCGTGTATCTGGGGATGGCATAATGATCGACCCCGGAAAGGTGGAACACTTACTAGAATGGAGAACCCCCACTACAGGCAAGGACGTGAACAGCATGTGCGGTTTCGATAACTTCCTGTCAGGTGGAGTCCCACACCTGGCAAGCTACTTGAAGCCTTTCGGACATTTGAGATGTCACAAGGGCAAATTAGGAGCATTGTGGACCAAGGACTGTGATGATGCCTTTAAGCAGCTCAAAACAGCGGTTCAACAAGCCCCAGTAGTCCAGCCACCACAAGATGGAGTACCCTTCATGATGGCTACAGACGCATCCGTCATGGCGTTGGGAGGTGTTCTGTATCAAATGATTGACGGGAAACCG